TGGCCGGGCAGGGAGGGGGTGAAGTCACAGCTCCCAGCAGCAGGACGTCGGTAGAAGTGGGCTGTGCCCTCGGAAGCTCACGATCCCATCTGTGTTTCGTGTTCGTCTCTTAAGGTGCTGCAGGACCGTTCGTCATTCACGTTTCTTCAGCCCTTAACACGGTCACCATTTCCTTCCTGCCGCCGCTGAGACACCTCCTGTGGAGGGCCTAGTGGGGAGAGGCCCTGAGGTTCTGCCCCGGAAATTCTTGTCCCTGGTGCAGTCTGTCCGCCCAGGACAGCCGGGTTCCCCTACAGCAAGGAGAATTACCCTGGATACCCCATTTTCTGAGCTAACCTGACCCCTCTGTCCCTCACCACAGACACGCCGCACCTCCCCCTCCATTTACACGCACCCAAACCCTGCTGAGCCAGTGACTCCTGCGAGCTAGGAAAGAAGAGGGAGACACGGCCAGGGACGTTGGGTGTTCAGCATGGTCGGTCCATGGATGGAAGTGGGGATTGAGTGGGAGCTTTGTACTGATTCCCAAGTGACTTCCTCCCAGCTTCATGTGTTTATTTAACTTTAGGAACCCGAGAGCAGCTCAACTCAGGGCCTGGAGCTGCCGGTGACCTCACCCCCTCACGCACAGCAAGCGCTTCTGCCCGAACAGCTGCGCAAAGAGTTAAATCGGGCCCGTGACTGCAACGTGCGCCCAGCTGAACACAAATCCATCGCAGGCTGGTCTTTCCCTGGGAGCTGCAGATTTAATTGATTCAGATGGGCATTCAAGTGGGTCAGGAAAGCAAGCTGTTCATTCTGTGCCTTGTTACCGGGGTTAGGCCGAAGATTGTAGCTGCTGTCTTGCGACAAGGCTGGCTTCTCGCTTAAGTACGTTGGCATTTATTGGGCACAACAGGGGTTTGGGGTTTTTTAATGCTGTCTTATGGAAGAGACTGCCGAGACATGCTCGACGGGCGTGCGCGTGGTAAGCGGTGTGCACGACTCCTTGCACGCCTGCATGGTGACATTTACTCGTGCACCAAAGAAGATGCTCGGGCCGGGGAGTGAGCGCTCAGACGGCTCGAGCTGCTGCTGCCTGCGCCACATTCACAAATAGAAGCCTGGCCTGTCTTGGACTGGCCCCTTCTCAGTAAAACCCCTGCAAGGTACCCGCTTGTTGCATCGCTGTCCGTGGGTAATGCCTCTGAGTGGCAGGGAAACAGTAGATGGGGACGGGAACAGGGCTCACCCGAGTACTACCGCCATGCTCACTAAGTTAATAGTACGTGGGTTTTAAAGTCCCCTTCCTTTTGCCTGTGTGGGCAACACCCGCACTTGGTTCTTGCCAAAGAAAACGCTGCTTAGTCGTGGTGGAGAAGCGTTCTAGGGGCAAGGGGACAGGAAAGCCAATAGGATGTCTGGGTGCTTGGATCCTTTTCCCATCTTTCAGAAAACCGCCCTTTGCGGCTCCCTGGCGGTGGGCCAGCCTCGGAGGCATTTCTAATTTGCCCACCGTGCAGTGCGTGGCCTTTTACACGTGCATGAAATTCAGTGTCCCAGAATGCAACCCCTGGGTGCGGACAGCAGGGAACCCCCTTTTCTCCTGCGTCCCAGGTGATGCGTCCGGAGGTGCCCATTTGTCGATGGACTTTACGTGCCCATGTGGGTGTTTTCAGGTGGGGTTTTGGCACCAACACTTCAGAACGATCCTTCCGATGATGGTGCCCCGTTGCTGTCGTGCCACCTCGGGTCCCGTGAAACCAGATTTCTGTTTCCCCAGCAATGAGAGATTCTTCCCAGCCTTTAACTTGTGGCTTTGTGCACTGGGGGGGTCTGCCAGGGTTCGCCTCTGGGGGGTCCCTACGTCACCGTATTTACCTGCGCCTCTGCAGGTACGGGGCTGGCAGCTCCCATTGGCTGTGGATCGCTGTGCCTGGCCAATGAGAGCTGCGATTGGCCAGGTCATGGGAAGTGCAGGTAAATATAGTGGCAGGGGCTGCCGGCATTTCATTGCCCGTCCCAGGGCGCGCTGCACGTGCTTCCAGCTGTAAATGGCTTGAAAGAGCCCAGCAGGGGGCACATGTGACCGGGGCGCGAGGGGGAGGAGCAGACACTGACAGAGTCACCTGAGGAGGAGCGGGGGGGGGGGACACCCCACCTCCTCCCTTGCAGATGGGGTGCGGCTGGGGCAGAGACATAATGCCCGGAGTTAACCCTTCAGAGACACGTCCTGGCTCCTGCTTTGACAAGGAGGGTCGCACCGGGGCCCTGCTAGCGGCCTCCCGTGGGATCGTACTTGGCTCCCGTCCTGCCTGCGAGGCATTAGCGCTCCAGGCAGCTTGCCGGGGGGCTGCAGCGTTCGCCAAAGGGCTGCCCAGCGCCGGCCTGCGAGGGGCGTCGCTCAGAACTCGCTGCGGGAGGAAGCCTGCGCAGAAAGCCCGAGCCCGGTGAGCCGCCTACAGCTCGAGGAAGCACGTGGGTCCGTGGCGGCCTCTGAACGGGGCTGGCTTTCACCAGCATCCCGAGCTCTCCCAGCTCCTGCCGGCTGCTGGCCTGGCCTGGCCTGACGACCGGCTGGCTTCCAGCGCTAGCGCAATTCTTCTCACCCAAGGCAAACGGCTGCTAATCCGCGTGAGGCCAGTTCTTACCTGGGCACAGCCCTGGGTTCGACAGCCGCTCCGGCTGCAGTTGAACGTTCCCAGGGAGCCGCTCCACGCAGCCGGAATCTTTCAGCCCAAGGTCCTGCTGCTCGGTTCGGGAGCAGTGTCCCAAAGCATTCTGGGATTGAAGAGCTGCTAGGCAGGCGCGAGTCGATGCGGCTGCTAAGCGTCTGCACCCACAAGCGAATTGCGCGCTGGCTGAGGGTGCTGAAATGTGGGTGCTGCGGGGGCGAAAGCATTTAGCTGAGAGATTTGCAAAAGAATTTTTTAAATCCCATGAGCATGCGATCCCCTGCGCAGCGACGTCTGGGCCCGCTGCCTGCAGCGTCCACAGGCTGGCCAGCACGCCAGCGAGGAACCCGTGGGCGCAGTCCCTCAGCCATTCATGGCTGTTGTGCCAAAGGATCCGTCTCTTTGCACGGCTGCTCACGAGCCCTCTGCCTCAGACTAGGCAGCTCCACATGGTGCTCAGTCCCCAGTCGGATCCGGATTAAAGCCTCTGCAGCCGCACGTTCAGACCTGTCCAAGGGTGAGTCTACGCTGCAGTGCAACACCCCTGGCTGGCCTGTGGCAGGCGCTGTGGGATGGGGCCACGGGCTGTAACGGCCGGGCAGGTCTGAGACGCCCCCTCCTTGCGGAGCTGCTCTGGGGCCAGGCGGGGGAGCGCGGGCTCTGCCTGCCAGGGGCGCGACTG